ACGTTCCATTGTGGTGAGAGCCAATGACATGAGTTCACTCTGCCCATACAAATCGTTTGAAACAGTGTTTTTGAGACTGGTTTCATCCTCACTTGCAACTCCTCATTCAAGTTGGGACGGGGGTCACTATTTTAGCTGCTGGCTTTAAAGCTCGTCATCAGCAGCAGCAGCAGCAGGCGAGTCATCTCCCATAAGGTCCTCCAGGCTAAACTCCTCCTCCTCCACCACCTGCCCATCCTTGCCGTCCCATGGCTCCCTGCTCTCCGCCTCTGGAATGCTCTCCACGGGCTCTATGCCTCGACCACCGCGGGCTGCCAGGCGCACAAACTCACTGTTAAACGACAGGGATTGCAGAGATTAGGAAGGAAAAATGAGAAAAATGAGGTAAGTGAACGGAAAGTTAGCAAGCGGATCAGTAACTGGACTCTTCTGGTGAAGTAAGACAGGGAGAATGCAACAGAAGGGCACTGTGGAGCTCAAGAGAAGCCGCCACGACAGCACTAAGTGTGTAGGTAGGCAGAGAGAAAACAGGCCAGTAGGTTAAGTTGACTCTGTTCTGTTCACCTGAGGCCTGTAACGATCTGCTTACCTCAAGCCCTCTGCTCTGCTCACCTCAGGCGCTCTGCTCTGCTCACCTCAGGTGCTCTGCTCTGCTCTGCTCACCTCAGGTGCTCTGCTCTGCTCTGATCACCTCAGGTGCTCTGCTCTGCTCTGCTCACCTCAGGTGCTCTGCTCTGCTCTGCTCACCTCAGGTGCTCTGCTCTGCTCTGCTCACCTCAGGTGCTCTGCTCTGCTCTGCTCACTTCAGGTGCTCTGCTCTGCTCTGCTCTGCTCACCTCAGGTGCTCTGCTCTGCTCTGCTCACCTCAGGTGCTCTGCTCTGCTCTGCTCACCTCAGGTGCTCTGCTCTGCTCTGCTCACCTCAGGTGCTCCTGTTCGAAGGCACTCTTGAAAGGGCTGAACCGCTGCTTCTTGGCGTTAAGGGCAATGAGAGCCGGGTATCCATAGCCTCCCACGCCAAGGGCCTTCTCCAGAGCCGGCTGTGCCCCTGCCTCCGCCCACACATACCTGCAGATGCATGCGAGGGACGGGGTGAGGGGATCGGAGGAGAGAGATGGAGGGGGGGGGGCCAACGTGGGTGAGGGGGAGGGAGCAGGAGACATAGAATAGTTCGGCTGAGCACCAGCCTCCGCCCACACATACCTGCGTATGCATGTGAGACACGGGGTCCGAGGGTGCGAGGTGAAGGAGGGGGGCAGGTGGAACATGGTGTGAATGGGAGGGAGCAGGAAGCATTGCAGGATTTTGGAATGGGAATGGTAGCAAACGACAGGCCTTCATGAGCCTGCCTGCCTGCCTGGCACTGAGTGAGTGGCACAGGAGAGGGGGCCCTCGCTTGTGATCACAGATGCACTCACTAATAGCAGTCCCGGCTCTCGGTAGTAGCAGCCCAGGCACTCACTTGTAGAAATTCTTCTTGAACTTGTCAGCGACAGCGAGAATGGTGTCTAGGTACTTGTTGCGGCCACTGGCACCGCTGTCAAGGATGTGAGGGAGGAAGGTGACAAAGCAGATGGTGGAGTCCGTGCATCCCGCCAGCACGTCCTGGTTGGCAATGAGAGAGAGGGGATGGGCAGAGGTGTGGGGAGCAGAGGGAGCAGAGGGAGACGATTTTTGAGGCGCCTCAGAAGGTGACAAAGCAGATGGTGGAGTCGGGGCTTCCCGCTTGTACGTCCTGGTCGGCAGAGACGGGCAGAGATGGGGCAGCGGGAGCAGTGGGAGTGGAGGGAGCAGAGGGAGCGAAGGGAACCGAGGGAGTATAAGCATAAGCAGTGGCCAGAGCGGCGAACAAAGAAACTGAAGGGGCAGAGAGCTCTGATGGGAGTGCGTGTTGAAGCAACTCTGCTCTTCCACAATGCTACCTTCTCCACCTCCCCTCACCGCCAGCATGCCTCAGCTGAGTGCACACACAACTAGCAACAGCAACAGCAAGAGACAATCCCCGCCCACCTGCGACGTGATCTCGTGCAATTCCGGAGCCGGCAGGTTCTGCTCCAGCAGCTCCAGCACGTATGACTCAATGCCCGACGCCACACGAAAGCCCCCTCGTGACTGTTGTGCCGACTCAATCAGCAAGCAGACACCACCTGCTCACCTGGGAAGTAATCTCGTGCACTTCAGGCGGAGGCAGGTTCTGCTCCAGCAACTCCAGCGCGTACGACTCAATGCCTGACGCCGTGCGCGGCCCTCGTGACTTTTCAGTCAACTCAACCAGCAAACAAATAGACACTCCCCGCTCACCTGCGAGGTAATCTCGTGCACTTCAGGAGGCGGCATATTCTGCTCCAGCAGCTCCAGAGCGTACGACTCAATGCCCGACGCCACACGCGGGCCCTCGTACGGCTTGGGGTTCTCCTTGTCGTCGCCGAAGACGAGGATGGTGGGGAAGCCCTGGATCTTGAACCGCTGCGCGAGGCTCTGCTCGACTGTGCAGTCCACCTGCCCCAGGTTCACCCTCCCCTTGAGCGCGCGCGCCGCTGCGCTCCACTCGGGCGCGAGGTTCTTGCAGTGCCCGCACCTGGGGGGGGGGGGGAGGAGGGGGGTGGAAGCGGGTAGGGGGAGATTGGACAAAGGAGGAAATGGCGAATGAATGGGTGTGAAGTGCAAGGCATTGACAGAGTGTTGGTGGAGAGCGTTGAAGTATCAAACACTTGCTTCTATTTCAAATGACTGATTGGAGTAGCGTTGTTGTGGAAAAAGAGAGGAGGGGGGGGGGGGGGGGGGGGGGGTGGGGGGAGAGGAGGAAACGCCCGAACGTGCTTTGTGTTGCAGGGCGCCCAACGCACCAGGGCGCGAAGAACGCCCAACGCACCACGGCGCGAAGAACGCCCAACGCACCAGGGCGCGAAGAACGCCCAACGCACCAGGGCGCGAAGAACTCGACGAGCCAGAGCTCCTTGCTGTTCACGACCAGGTCGTCGAAGTTGTCGCCCGTCAGCAAGCAGACCCAACAACGAGCGGCACGAACGAGCAGCAGCGCACGAAGGAACGGCAAGTCACGAAAGAATGTTAACGCACCAGGGGGCGAAGAACTCGACGAGCCAGAGCTCCTTGCTGTTCACCACCAGGTCGTCGAAGTTATCGCCCGTCAGCACCACCGACGCGCTCGGCCCGCTCTCCGCCTTCCGCCCGCCGCCACTGCCGCCGCCGCCGCCGCCCACCTTGCCACCCAGCCTCGCGCTGACCAGCGATTTCACCTGACAAGGTTGATGCGAGAGAGGGGCGTATGAAGCACTCGCGATAAGACGTCCGGGACGGGGTGTTTATGCCAGGGAGATGAAAGCGGGTTGCTCCAGGAACGGAATGGGGTCGTGTGTGCTGGAGTATTTATTTTAAGTTAGACTCGCAACGACGTGCAAATACGGCTGTTTGGAGACGCCGTGCGCAACGAAACGGCTCAACGCTTCTCACGGGAAGACTATCGTGCGCGCATCTGTAACGCGCGCAACTCAGTCGCGCTCGTACCGCACCGCACCTGCGAGAGAGCAAAATCGACGATAGCCTTGGCGTCGCGCTGGCCCTGGTAGTCCGCGGGCGTCTTGAGGTGCGGCGCGAACACCTTGATGGTCGGGAAGCCCTGCACGCCGTACTCCTGCGCGATCGACGGGTTCGCGTCGCAGTCCACTGCGGCGACGGTCACGATTCCCTTGAGCGCCGTCGCGGCCTTCTCCCATGCCGGCGCGAGGTTCTTGCAGTGGCCGCACCACGGCGCGAAGAACTCGACCAACACGACCTCGCCTGATTCGATCACCTGCGGGACGGCAAGGGTGCGAGTTCAGTGTAAGAACTTATTTTTGAGGCGCAGTGGCCTTGCAGTGTTCGCCGCACCACGGCGCGAAGAACTCGACCAAGACGACCTCGCCTGATTCGATCACCTGGAGGACGGCAAGATATAGAAGCTCGCAGCGAGACGTTACGGTGGAGTGGAAAGGATAAGAAGTTCAGGGGGAGGAGGCGAGAGGCGAGGGGGCAGAGAGGCTGCAACGGAGGAGTAGTGGAAGGTAAGTTCCGAGAGGAAGAAAAGAAGCGACGTTGTGTTGCGTACCGCGGATTTGAAGTTGGAAGGCGAGAGGTTTGCCACGTCGGACGAGGGGCCGTAGAGCGCGGTGATGCCGGTGACAGAGGCGAGCAGCGCGACCGCGAGGAGCGACAGCTTCGGCCGAAGGAGCTCCATGGTCGGCAAACGGAACTCGCAGCGTCGCTCCTGAAAGATCGCTCTAGCCAGCCGTGATAAGAACGTTCGCGGATTCAGTAGGTGGATAGAGCGGAGCAGGCCGAATGGGAGTGCTCTGATCGGCTTGCAGTGCTCCGAAACTGCTAGATCTATTGAAGGCCCTCGAGAGTGCAAGGAACAGGGGAACTGTCCCACCGATGAATGGATCACGAAATTCGATTGTTTCGGCGTTTGCATGACTCTGCCTTGCTGCCTGCCACTTCGGGAATTGATCGCACTCGACACTCTGGAAGCTGTTGCCACGTCAATTCAGCGCCTATGATTGGTTGAGAGGCTCACTGCCACGGTGCAAGAGACTTGCGACCTACATGTACTCGTTACTGGTCCGGCGTGAGACTCTCAATGAAAGTTGTACCATCTGAAGCTTATCATAAACATAGTATCAACATTTAACAGTCCTAAGTGATATAATATTTGAAGAACACCTGTAAATCTTTTCGGGACCATGTGTTATAAATGAAGCATGTCGCCCCCCCATTGACAGCAGACATGATGACCCCATTCACAGTAATGAAACATGATGCCTTCACTTCACAATATTCAGAAAACAAAATGTCACAATTACGTATCGGTAACGGTAAGCAAAAGAAAACAAATAAAAACAGTTATGAATGCCAAAACGTGAATAAGGGCCACGTCTCCTAACAGTAAATGCTCATCGGCCGATACCATGTTACTCATTTCGTGACACCATGGGCTCAACAACCCTACTCAATCATCCGCCACTTCTCTGACAGCGAATGGGTGAGCTTGGACGCACTGCTCGTTGCCTCCGACCAGTCACTCCTCCCGAACGAGCTGCTCTCGCCACGTGGCGTTCCCGCCAAGCGAAGGCTGGGTTCTGAGAGGGAGGAGAGGTCCTCGTCACCGCAGTAGAGCGAGAGGAGGTTCTGGAGGCGGCGGGCGACGTCCTTCATGTTGGGGCGGCGCGAGGCGGGCATCTTGAGGCAGTCCAGCGCGATGTCTGCCAGCTCCACCACCGCCTCGTCCGGCGCCTCCAGTGCCGCGTCCTTCAACTCCCCCAGCTCGTACACCTGCACCTTGCGAGCTGCCTGCGAGTAGGAGAGGGTGGGGGGAAAAAACAAGGGGGGATTGTGACATGCCCAGTTTGTACCCTTGCACCATGTGCGCCGCTTCGGCAAAGGGGAGGTGGTGGGGGGGGAGTTCATGTCATATCATGAACAAGGGCCTGGATAACACTTGTAGTAAAAAAACAACATGAACACCCAGTATATCGTGTGTTTTCACGTTTTAGGTACCAACATCAGCTGTAAAAAAAACCTAGGGTCTTATGTGAAAAGAAGAAGAGAATTTGAAGCAGTATATTGTGTGTTTTTCCGTGAGCGGCTAGAATTTCTCCCCCCATTTCTCCAAGCACCGTTTCGGAATTGAAGCGCCCGGTGTATAGCCTCAAGCAAGCCGTGCGCGAGTGGCATTCTAACCTCGCCTCCACTCTTCACTCTCATGGCTTCTCCTCATCTTCTTCTAACCCCAATCTGTTTCTTAGAATCTCACCCCACATGATTTCCATTCTCGCGTATGTGCATGATTCGATGATGCTTACTGAGGGCTCTGCTAATTTTGCTGTTGTCAAAAGACTCTTCATGCCCGCTTCCTTACCATTTTAGTCATGCAACTGCTGCACATTTTCAGTTCGTTCTCACTCTCTAGACTATTTTTACGCTGATTAAATTGGATATGATAGCTAAGCCTACGATGCACAATTCTACGGAGCGGATTTACGTTTAATTGAGAAATGCGTTCGTCGTAAAATGACTAATCCTACGCAACAACTCTGGTGGCTCCGCCCTCACTGCTTTTCGAGTTACAACGACTCTTTCGGCTGATTCTCACTTAATCGCAATTCCTCTCATTATTTACATCTTTCATAATTTATTCGCGATTTGTTGACTTGTCAATATGTAGTGTTTGTTGGAGCTGTTATTGTGTATGCCACTTACAATGTGCGGGTTCAAGGACCCTACTAGACAAATGGCTTAGACAACATTACGAAAAGTGAGCATTTGCATGTACCGGTAGGTATTTATACACGAAGTCACTGAGTCGAACTCTGGCTTGGATCAGGAAAAAGTTTGGCCAAACCTTTTTTGGCCCGGTTCCAATATGCCTAAACCCAGCTGAGAGGAGTACCTTGGCCGGCCCCTGGACTTTACCCGGTTCGGCCCGTATTTCTGGGCGACCCCGCCCGGTTTGGCCCGTAGTCAACCCCACCATGCATGCACTCACCCAGTCACTGATGTGGCTGTCGGTGCCCTCCACGGCTGCCTTCTGCCTTGTCAGCAGCTCCAGCAGCACGACGCCAAAGCTGCTCCACCGATAAAGGTTGGACGGGTGGTGGGGAGAGCAGGGAAGGGAAGGAGAACAAAAGTTGTTACGTGCTCGATGTTGTGAGGGAGAACGCCCGTACAGAGATGAGATGAAGCTTCTCAAACAAGGAGATGCAATGAGCATGCCAACAGGCGTGAAAAAAAATGCTTATTTGGTATTCACATATCGCACCGCAGGTCATAGCAAGGGCACGGGCACCTGTAGACGTCGCTCTTTTCGGAGACGACTTGCATGCGGTTGTAGTCGGGGTCGAGGTAGCCCGGGGTGCCGGCCACTCGAGTGCGGTCGTCGCCGCCCTCTGCGTGGCTGAGCATCTTGAGGAGCCCAAAGTCGGCGATCTTGGCCTGGTTGTGCTCGCCCACGAGGATGTTGCCGGGCTTGAGGTCGCGGTGCACGATGGGCGTCGCGAAGCTGTGCAGATACGCAACTCCCTCCGCTGCCCCCACTGCCAGCTGCAGTCGCTGCTTCAAAGTTAATGGCTCTGGGAGGTGGAAGAGGGGGAAGGAGAGAGGGAAAACCGAAACTAAAGCAAGGAACAAAGCCGGCAAGAAGGGGGAACAAACATTTGCACTCATGCATGTGATACTTGAGCAACATTTCTAGGACAGTGGTTTAACGGAGTCCCATACAGGAGCCATGACTTTACATGGCAGCAACTTTTAGCAAACATATCAATTTGTTTAGTTTATGTACATATGCTTGAAAAAAACCTTGTGTAAGGAGACTTTGGCGGTAACTAGTTTCAGCGCATCTAGCTCTTCAGATTAAGAGCCGAAACCAGTTACTGCCAATTTTTTTCCTTACACAAGGTTTTTTTCAAGCAAATGTACATAAACAAAACAAATTATTATGTTTGCTAAAAGCTGCTGCCACGTAAAGTCATGGCTCCTGTATGGGGCTGCTTTGAACTCGAGCAACATATCTAGGAAAAAATGGTTCTTTATTCCCTTAAAATGCAAGGAGAGGGAGCGTACTCTTGGAGTCATGGATGTGGTACTTGAGGTCCCCGTTGGGCACGAACTCGTAGACGAGGATCTGCTCCTGCTGGCCGCTCTCCACGTTCTGATGCAGACAGAAGCCCAACAGGCGCACCACGTTCGCATGCCGCAGCGACGCCATTGCCCGCACCTGCCGGTGGCAAAAAGGTTGAAGGGCGAATTAAATAGGGGGTTTAAGGGACGTTTTCATGCCGCAGCAACACCATCACCTGCACCTGCCAGAGAAGGGCCATTGCACAAGGAGGAAATTTCATGCCGCAGTGACAGTATCGCCCACACTCGAGGAGAATTCTAGGGGAATTAGTGCTGAAGAAAAAGGATGTTAGAGGGACGTCTCATGCTGCAGCAACGCCATGCCACACCTGCAGGTGGAGGGAACCGATATGTGGCGCAGAGTGCTCATGCAGTGAAAGGGTACCGAGCTAGCACGGGGAGAAGCAAGCAAGCTGATGGGCACATGGAGGGGCACGACCAGCCAGTCGGGGAGCAGGAGTTTCCTTTCCTCACCTTGGTTTCAAAGTCGTTGGACATAAGTGCGATGCGCTTGACAGCCCAGAGCTCGCCCTTGGAGGAGACGCCCTTGTAGACGGTGGCAAAGCCGCCCTTCCCCAACACATTGCTGCTCGCCCAGTTGTCTGTCGCCCGCAGAATCTCCCCCATGCTGAACTCCTGACACACGTCCAGGTCGCTCCACCGCCCTGCCATGCCACACAGCATTCCAGGACACTTCGTAAGAATACAACATTTAACACAGTTAAGCGCACTGTACACAAGCCAGTGTGCTGCGGTAAAACAGGCGCACAAATTGCTGCAACAACTGCAGCAGAGCAGCACGTTTATCAGCACACAACATCCAACGTGGCACACATTTACGTGCACTGCACACAAGCAAGTGTGCTGCAGACAAACAAGCAGCACAGCTCGATGCTACAACTGCAGTAGTGAATGAATCAAGGAAAGTGGGGAAAACGAGAAGGGTCTCACGGCGTTGGCGGGGCCAGAGCAGCGCGACAACGAGAGCGAGGATTAGTGCAAAGGCGGCAGCAGAGCCCACAGCGATGCCCACCACTGCACCCGTGGAGAGTGCTGGAGAGGTGAAAGGGGGGAGGATGGGGAGGGAAAACAGAGGGGTTGGAGAATATATAGTCGGCTTTGTTGACGGGAATGTGGCCCCGCCCTCGCTTGGGCGAAGCGGACTTTGCAGTCGGGTGCGCGGGAGGTGCAACCGGCTGTCTACAGTGGTCGACGCCAACTTGGGCGGGCAAGTCGACAGTCTCGGTCGACTTGCGCAGGATCACTGTGAAGCCGCCGACAAGATGAAGTCGGCGGCTAACTTCGACTTGGGTCGTCGACAAAGGAGGTTCGTCGACCTTGGGGGGCGCCGACTTCGACTTGGATGGTCGACGAAGGTGTTCGTAGATCGGGCGCTGGGGACATTACCTGCTCGACCGAGTTACCAGGGCGGCAAACTTTTGTGGGGGTACGCTAAGGGGTGAGCAAAATCACGAATGCCTGTTCGGTTCGCCTCGAACACGTTCAAACCGAACAGGCTTTTTTTTTGGCCTTAAGTGTTCGGGAAAACATGTTTGATGTTCGCCCGAACATGTTCGTGTTCGGGCCGCTGCTGCAATTTGCCCCGCGTCGAACACGAACGTGTTCGAGGTTCGCCCGAACACGCCTTCACAGGCGAACACCGAACACCCTTTTTGGCTAAAAGTGTTCGCCGAACCAAACACTGTTCGGTTCGGCGAACGGATGTGTTCGTGCAGGGGCGAACACAAACACATTCGTGTTCGCCCCTTGCTCACCCCTAGGGTACGCGGACGTCGCCCATGAGGTTTTGGCAAAGTCAACATGCGGGCTGGTATCCCGAGGTCGACGTGGAACATCTGGCGCAACCGTCGGCATGCGACCGACTTGGCACCCGCGCAATGTGCGTGATGATGCACAACATGAGCGACCTTCGACCTGCACCTGCGAAGTAGGTGCGCGCACATGCGCACTAGAACACCTGCTGGCGCAACGCTGGCCTTACTGCAGCGTTGGCAAGCCGCGCTAGTGTGCTGCTGGCAAGTCGCCGACTTGCAGCGATGGCAAGCCGCCTTCGAGCTGCGTTGACACGCGGTCGACTTGCCGCGCTGGCAGGCCGCCCCCGTGCTGCGCTAGAGGTCGACCTGCATGTGTGCTAGGTTGCGAGTCTTTGACGTAATCATTTTTGTCATTGCCTTGCATTATTGTATCCAATTTTTGCTAGTGAAACTCTTGCCAGTGAACGCGTAAGTAGAGAGAACACGAGCAAACGCTGCGATCGCTTGTACCACCCGTGCCCCCCCCCCCCCCCCCCCCGTAGTCCAGCTCTCGGTATAGAGTGCCTCTCCGCAGACTTACATGCGCACAATATTTCAATGGCAAATATGTATGCATCCCCATGCTTATAAGACGGAAAAGAAATCAAGGATATCAAATACGCAGCTCTACAGAATACATGCAAAATAGGTAACTTTCTCATCCAGCACACACGCACGCAAACCCGCACGTACACACGCATACACGACGCATGCATGCTCTCACGCACGCACTCACACATACACGCACTCACGCGCTCACGCATGCATGCACGCACACACACGCACAAACGCACGCACTCACACACACACAAGTATGCGCACACAGACGTTAAAAGAAAAAGAAAAGAAAAGAAAAAAAAGGGCGCATATGAGAACCTACTTTGTGTGGTGGGTGGGTGCGTGTGGGGCAGGGGGGGGTTGGAGCAAGGCAGGCAAACACAGAGCACAGCGTACCTGCAGCAGGGGGCGGAGCAGGGCGGGCGCAGGTGGAGCCGAGGGTGCCGTTGGTCGGGACGTATCCGTCGTCGCACTCACACGTGAAGCGCGCCTCTGCTGCCCCCGCCTGCGGCGGCACACACGCTCCGTGCCCGTCGCACGGCCCCAGCTCCCGCGACATGCTGCAGAATGCCAGGCACTCGTCGCTGCTGCGCTGCGTCTCGTTCGCCGTGCACTCCATCTGCTTGTTCAGCGTGAAACAGTTCTGCCGCAGACTCGCCTCACCCCTCTTGTTGGCCCCTGCGCGTGTCATCTCAATTATTGCTCCATCCCCCTGGGGTCTACAGTGGCCACCAGTGGGGTTGGTGAGGTCGGCTGGTGTCAAGACAAGGGGCTGAATGACCCCCGAGGGGCAGAACTGACAGCCATCGGCGTAGAGCATGGGGTCACCATAGAAGAAGTTGCCTGCGATGTTGAGCAGCGCGCGATTATCGGGAATCATGCTGCGGAAGTTGGAGTTGATTTCTCCATAGAAGCTGTTGTTGCTGATGTCACTGGAAACAATAGGTGGAAAGTGGGGTGGCAACAAAAATTTGGATGGCAAACGGAAGCGTGGATAGCATTACAACAACTGCTTGCTCTTGCTGTCCCCTCCCTGCGATCTCATGGGCATGAGTCCAGCTCGCTGATTTACGTTCAGCTGACCTGAAAATGGCCCAAACATGGGAGCCTGTTTGGGGGATGTGGGGTTCCGCAGGCATATGTGCCTGGGGTGGGGGCTCTTGACCATTGGTCATGGTCTCGGCTCGTCTCGGTAAACAAACGAGGCAAGTTGAAGTTCTGCGAGTTAAACTCTCCCCCAGAACCATCATGCCGACATCAGAGTGTGAAGCAAATTGCAAGAGGGGTTACACAGATTTCGAGAATTAGTATGACATTTTGAGTTTTGCTGAGGGCACAATGTAGCCATACTTTTAACTCCCTTCAACCACACCTAGGCTAATCCCATAATATATAATCAGCCACTTGACACTTGCCAAAACCTCTTAAACCCTGAACTCAAATCCCCCTCACGTCCAAGGAAAAATACGACTTAAGTTCCCTTCCCCCAACCCCTACGCTCCCAATCACACCCGCTTTTTGTTTGCCGCAGCTGGCATTTGCCTGCCCAGCTAAGTATACTCCAAAAGCCCAGTTGCATGACTAACAAGGCTCGTATAGACAGAACCAAACAAAAATTCGAGCGGGACTGGTCCAACCTTGAACTGAGAGGAGCCTCAACATTTTCGAACCCAGTTCACAAGACAAACAGATTTATTTACTGGGCATCAACTCGAACTAGTTAGAGTTTGACATTTTCTCAAGCCCATTAGGCATAAAACACTCTAAGCAACCACTCTTTCACTCTTCATTCTTCGTAACCACTTGAGCGCAGTGCTCCTTCCTGCCTCACCAAGGTACACTCTTAATCAAGCATCTCTCACATCTTGTGCAAGCAGTATTCAAAGAGGCAGGAAGGAAAGATCCCATAAAAGTAGTTGTTGCGAATCAACCTGAAACAGTGAGAAGACAGGAGAAGGACTTGTCGTGCAAGAAAGGTATCACATCAGGCTTGCTGAATGGGTGCCTGCAAGCATCCCCCCAACCCATGCTAGGTCAGCCCTAAATGCAAGAATATTAACAGCACAATCGCTGTCAATAACACAACCACGAACATGCTGTAACATTAAAGAGAGCAGAAAAGGTGGGGGTCACATCGTCACTAGTCCTTGTGCATGGTAATGATTTCCAGGGTAAGAACGGAGGTACATTTGTTCTAGCTTGGTGAGGTTGCATATGGAAGGAGGGAGTCTCCCTGTGAGCTGGTTGTCAGATACGGACCTGCCAGCATGCAGAATAATTAGACTCTTATAAAAAAAAACCTTAGAAGAGTCAACAATGAAGCCCAGAGCTACTCGGATTGATACCAAGTTGCTAGACTGCATGAATTACTCGATGCGAGCTTGTCTTCGCTTTTAGGTTTGTCAAGTAACACTGTTACTACACCATCCGTCAGTGTTGGAGCTTCCTATTGTACCGTCTGGCCACTTTAGTTTCCTTTAAGCAAACCTATTCACATCAGTCTCTTGACTTTTCCACTCCTTAATTCCATCGCATGAGTCAAGACATGAGCAGATCAATCCGGGACGGGTCGAAGTCCTGACATGGCTGACTGGGGTGTTTCGAGCCGGCCTGCCCCGAGACCCGAAATCAGGTTTTTGGTCGGTAGTAACGATTTGTTACAGGTTGGTTCGGCCCGACCCGACTTAACCCGCCAGCTGCACGGATTGACTGCCAAGGTGCCCAATCTGCACAGATCGGCGGTCAAATTGCTCTCATCAGCAGGCATGAGCAAAGGGCGAACTCAAACATGTTCGTGTTCGCCCTGGGCCACATTCGTTATAGTGGTACCATGCTGGTTTGTACGCTCTTAAGCGCGAACTCGACATTGGCGCCATCCTTAGTCAAGTTTAAGGAGGAGATACAAATTACGCTAACCCTAAATAAGTTGACAAACCCGTTTATGTGTGCTTCTAGTGGTAGTTATGGCTGCTGGGGAGGAGATCGACTACGTTTGAGCTAGAAAATGAGCTCAAACAGAATGTCCCGTCGACCTAAAAAGTTGGTCGCGGGACATTCGCGGCGAACACAGTCGTGTTCGTTTTTCCCACAAAACGAGCACGAAAGTGTTTGTGTTTGTCATGGCTCGGCTCGGCCTTCCGCTACAAACCTAACACAAATGTGTTCGGGCGAACACGAACGTGTCTGCCACGAACACTTTAGGCAACACATGTTCGGTTCACCTCGAACGTGTTCGAGGCAAACCGAACAGGTGTTCGCCCTTGTGCTCAAGCCCACTCATCAGTGAGGATCTGCCACCGAAATCATCGATCCGCACAAATTGGTGGGCAGAACTGGTGATCCGCCAGACAGTCACAGCCGACCCGCTCCTATAAGCCCTGGTCGAGCTGGCTTCTCCTAAGTTTTGACCCGAGGTTGGGTCGAGCAAAGCAGGTAGGGCCCGAGGGGGACGACCCAATGCTCATGTCAAAGTCAATAGTCATGTGACAAAATGCTGGCATGAATGAAGTACCAAGGGGGATAGCTTGTTCGTAGGTGAGAGAAAGTGGAGCAAAGTGCCTGCTGTTCCCTTTGAGAGTACAACATTAGCCAAAGCTCTAGACATGAGCATTATACCGACCGAGCTGGGGCATATGGTTCGAGTTGAACAGGTTTGATGGTACCGCGCAACGCAGCCGCACAACTGGGTTTTGATTATACCGAGCTGAACTCGTGCTCCAACTTTCTTGCTTGGCATTCTCATGCCACGCAATTTCGTGTTTTCCATTACATGGCTCTAGCCATGGGTGCTAACACACCAGTTCGACGAACCGGGAGCAGTTCGGGTCAAACCAGTAGCAATTACAACATTCAGGAAAATTTCGAACCAACCAAGTCGCCAGATGGTTCCTTCCACCCAAACAGGTTCGGGTTTGTTTCGACCACCCGGCCGGTTGAGGAGGTTCGGATGAACCAGTTTAAGTTTGATACATGCTCATGCATAGTCTAAGCATGAACATGCACATAAAACTGATGAAGCATGACCATGGCAAGGAACATGGTCAAGTCTGCATGAAGGCTTTTAGCTACAGGGTACGAAGATTGGAGAGCGCCCCAAGGCCTGCGGGTAAGGTTCCTGAGAAGGTGTTGGCCGCCAGGTCTCTGATGTGGGTGTAGTGTAGAGTGATGAATGCATGGCAACACAAGACCATTGGAATTCAAAACAGTTCCCAAGGCGCTGCAAACATGATTCACCACACCAGGTCTCTGGTGGTGTGGGTGTGAAGAGATCGATGCATGGGACGCAACCATTCTTTCTTAAAACAGCTCCTGAGGTGCCTCAAACATGATTTTCCAAGTCTCTTGAATGGGGGTGCATAAGTGAATGGCAGATACATGGCATGACACAAGATCGCTTGAGCATGGACTATGAAGGACAGTGCTTGAGATGGGTTGGTGAGCAATAAAATATGTGGAAATTTTACAACACAGCATTGGTAGTTAAATATGAGGAAAATATACGTGTATTTTTTCTTACATGGCCTGAAGATTTGTGAGGGTCGTAAGAGATGTGGGCAAGGTCCCTGATAGCTGGTTGCTGGTCAAGGAACTGTAGAAGTCACGCAAAAGACGAGGGATGCTGATCAAATTCCAAAAGGAATTTCTTTGGTTTTAACGGTTCCATATCGTGGTCTCATATCAACTGAATCTTTAAAGAGAGAGAGAGAGGTGATGAAAAAACATGGAAGGTGTAGATGATACAGACGGACAGATGGTGGAATGACATCTGATGCTCACATGACATTAAGTGAAGTCAGCATGCTGATTGATTGTGGTATGGTTCCTGTGAAGTTGTTGCCTCCTATATGCCTGAAATAAAATGGGATGGGAGAAGAACGAACAACCATTATTTCACAAAATTCCAAAATAGGACTAAATACAGCAGTCACTTGTTGTGTCACAATCGCATTTCCCCATGCCACCATGGTGGGACGGGATGGGAAGGGCGTGCAATGCAATGGGTCAGGGAAGGGCGCACAACGAGTGTCTGGGAGGGGTGCAATGAGTCTGGGAGGGGTGTGCCTCCCATTCCTCTGTTCCTCTCTACAGCCTAGGGGAATTATAAAAAGGTAACATGCAGTGAACCTGAATTGAGACTAACTGAATAACGGTGCGAGCTCTAGCCCGCTCGAACACATCATGCCAATCTGCTGCCTGCCCCTCCTGCCTGACTTACAAGTAGGAAAGGGACGTGTTCTAGTGTGCAAAATCAGGAAGAGGGCCCGACAATCCATTTCCATGAAGACTCCTGTCAGCACAGATCATCAAAACCGTTCATTACAAATCCAGCAACAAACAAGGCTGGGCATAATTCTGCTGCGTTCGCACGAAAAAAACTCAGAAATAAATTACGGAGGCCATGTTTCACCAGCCATCTGTTCTTACTGATCCCACAGCAACCCATGGGGACATACAATACGTTGAGGGATTCTGTTCTCAATGAGCTGGGCAGGCTTCCACTAAGCCGATTGTCGTTCAAAGCTCTGAAAGGCGTTTTATGTGGAGATTAAGCGGCGGGAAAGAGAGAAAGAGTGGTGGAAAACAGAGACAGAGTGGCGGAAACAGGGTGAGGACGTGGGAAGTATACAAGGTTGCAGTGTAGGTCATGTATGCCTGCGGGTGGGTTTTGAGGCTTCTAGAACCTACAAACCGTGTAGCACGCCGTGCATTTATTTTGCAACACAGACACAGCACGTGGTTCGGTCTAAGCCACGGCTTGCTGGAGACATGTTGGTTTGACAAAACGACCTGATCTGATGTGCTTCAGCATGTGCCATGTATGATGTAACACGCTACTTGACCAAGTGGGTGAAACAATGAAGGGAAATGGCGAAAGAAGGG